GCCAGGTTTAGTTATGTTTAAGTATTAGACACACAAGTGATTGTTCTAAATTTAATAGAAATTTTATGAAATTTTGGATTTGGACTGATAATTTATATATATATATATATATAATCTCAATTATATAATTAAAAAATTTCAAAAAGTAGAATTTGAATGGTTAACAATCAACTAATCACCATCGAAGCTTAAGTTGTCTAGAATTAGTCAACTATCTCAACAACATTCATCACTTCAACAAACACCATCATCTTCTTTCTTCAGTTTTATTATTTTAAAAAAGGGATAAAAGAAAAAAAATGAAAACACCTCCACGCCTTACTCATGATTACACGACATGATCATAAAACTGAACTTATCATCTTTAGATCACACGAAATGACCACGCAAATGCTGCTAACCGAACTGCAGGTGTTCAAAAATTTGCATTCTGTTCGCTTGTTCCACTTAAATGAGAAACAATTCTGATAAAATTTTGAAAGAGCAGTTATGATAAAGAAATATTCGGGCCGACCTTGAACTAGGTTTTATACGTAACGTAATGAAAAAACAAAAGATAATTCTTGACTAGATAACATATAACGTAAAGTTAATGTGATTTTTCGAGAAAATATTAAATTTTTATTCGGGATTTGAAGTTATTTTTTAATTTTTTTTTTATAATTAAATTTTATAAACATTTATTTTTTTCCCCCTCGGTTATTTTTTTTATTTTACTTTTTGTTATTTATTTTCCTTTCATTTTCTAATCAAATTTTTGACAGGAATAAAATATTTTGCAAAGGTAAACTGTTTTTTATTCTTAGAAAATACATTACTTTGAAAAAAAAACTATAATTATTAAAAAGCTGACACAATGCATTATTTTTAAATACCCTAGCAAAATTATCTTAAAATCATTTGTAGACTTAACTTATGCAGTAGTTTTAAGAAGTATATGTTCGATTTGTTTTTAATCATTTTTCAGACAACTTTATTTCAGTTATATTTTTTTTAACTAAAAAATAATACCTAAATTTAAATAGATGCAATCTGAGAAAAACAAACAAACTAATTCGGGCAAATTTATGTTATATTTGGTTGACTAAATGATGAGTTACACAAATTGTAAGTGGCATTTTATAAAATTTCATTTTTAATTGTAACACGCCAATTTACTCAGTTATTTTTTACCTCATCAAAGAAAATTTTTAGCCTTCGTTGAATTTCAAAATTTGTTTCTTGTTTTAATTTTTTTCACTCATTTCTTAAAATTGTAAACTGTGATTAGTTATGAACTTTTTTACATAATCGAATCAAACTTCAATAAAAACTCAATTTAAATACATTTTCCTCTTGCTTTAAATAAAATCAATTTTATTTTCTGTACAAATCAATATGAATCACGTTTTATGTTACCAAACCACACACATCTTTTTTTTTTCTCCATAATTTCCACATTATTATCCATCATCCTAGATTTTGACAATTTAAATAAATCTTTGACGCTTGTATGTCGTAAACCACTATTTGACATCAAAAGTAGGCTACATTATTTATAATTAAATAAAAAACTTAATTCGATTATGATTTTCTCATAATAGTTAAAAGCTTTCTTGACACCTTCGGTGTTAGCACATAACTTGTACGCGTTACCAATGTTATGACTTTAAAACTATGCGTTACAACTTGTACGCGTAAATAATGGAACGGCAGAGTTAAATTTGCAACAATACAGGGTCGGCTGTAATCACCGCTCTTAATATTTTTATTAAATAATTGTCAAAAATGAAACTATAGAAATATAACATTAAAGGCTGGGTTAAAATTTTGGACGTCCTAAATTGTTTTTGGACATAACAAATAGGTTTTACTGTTCTAACCCTTGAATTTTGTTTAAGGGTAAAAATTCTATACTTAACATATGCGTAACATATTGATACTTGATAATTTTTATTAACAATTTACTTAAATTACTAATAGCAATTTACTTATTAACTTAAAAGAAATAAAATATTATAAGAGAAAAATTTTTGTACCTATTGAAATTCCAGAATTGATAAAACAAAGAATTAGTCATTATAAAATTACAACCCTTTTTCGTTTCATGGTTAAAGATTATAAACAATAAAATTAATTTTTTTAAACTTATTTATAGTGTAAATTGTTGTATCTTATTTTAATATTTTTTTAGACTTCTATAAATACAAATGAAAATTAGAAGATTGGATATTTTTAAGAGCCAAATAATTTCAACTAAATAAAAAAAAAAAAAATTGTAATTTTTGACCAAAAATTTTTTTTTCCTCCAAATTAAATTAAAACCATCATTTTTTACAATTACTTTAATATTATTATATTTTAATACGCAGAGATACTCTTATAAGTTTAAATTTAATTACTTATAAAAGTGATAATTCTATGTTATATTAAGTACTCTTAAGCATTGTACAGATAAAATTATTACATGACTGGAGTAAAAGAGTTTCGGACAGAGGGATCTAGGACAGAACTGTTTAAACCATGGTTCACGGGGTCCAAAGCCCTGCCAACCCCGGTGAAGGGTTACAAATAATTATTTAAGTATGAAAGAAACAAGAATCGCTAAAGAAATGTGTTGAACAGCCAACGAGTTGGGGGGAGGTATTTAAAAAGCAGTTTGATTGCCTGATGATAAGAGGTGTTTCTAATTATCCCTTTTAGCATTCCTATTAATTTTCTAAGTCAATCCAACAAGTTTTTGTTTTCTGTTCCACCTTACTCAGTTGTGATTTCTTAGACTTTGATACTGTTTTTTTTTAGCTTATTAGCCGGAATACCAGCCCAAGCATAATTTTTTTTATCTCCTCCTCAACCCAAAATATTGTAACGTATCAAGCTATATTAAGAAACAGTTCTTTGTTTTATTAAAAAAAAAGTTTATTTCACACCACAACAAATACAGTAACAAATATAAAGTACCCGTAACGGGATAGTTATAATCTTATAAAACAAACTAAATTATATGAAAACTCAAATTTCAAAACAAAACTAATCTCTGCTGTTCTAAAAAGGTCTTCTAATTTTATCGTCTGCTTTTATTTTATTGCTTATTTCTTTATGTGTTTATTTTATTTTATTCATGCTTTTGCTAGCCCGTTATTTTTTAATATTTTTACTTTCATTCTTGCTTTTGCTAGCCAATTATTTTTGAAATATTTTTAGACTTTATAATATATATATTATCAAAGTAGTCGTTACGCAAAACTTATCATTTCCCATAGTAACAATCTTAAGGGGTTGGTCAAAATGACTATGATAACGCTGTAATAATCTGGACGTATACCGGCGGAAACTTAATTATCGATTGCAAAACATTCCTTAATAAACATTTTAGAATGTTATGAGAGACGAAGCACTAGATATTAATAATCTTTCATGAATTAAGATTAATAATCACATAAAAAATCATTTTCTTTGAACGGCTGACAATACAATGACGCGCCGCACATCTGCTGAGATTCGAATGAGCAATGGATTCTAAGCACTTTCTTTTCAAATATCTCATAAAAAAAGAACTGAAGTGAAAAGTGTCACTATAATATTGATAAAAAAATATACCGACCCTCTAGCCTTCGACTTTGTCCTCAAAGTCAAAGCAATATACCGCCTTTCGATACAAAAGAACTTTTATACTCTCCGTCCAACCGCATTCTTGATAGTGAACAACCCAAACAATCAACATAAAAATTCATATCTTTAATGCGAAGACTTCGAATGGGGTCCCCCTTTTTTTTAACATCAAGCAGAAATGAATAAAAAAAAAGTTCTTTTGAGATCAGCGTGTGAAACCGAGACGATAGCAAACATGGGGAAGTTAAGGGAAGGTAGCGGAGTTAGTCATTGAACACCTGTGAGTATCCAGATAAGGCACGTAAAAAATATTTTTTAGTCATCGATCTATAGAATTTAAGAATGGTATTGCGTCATTCCCCTGATTGTTAATACGATTCTATAAAATGAAATCGCAAGTTTAGGTCGATTACTAAATATGCTCACATTTTTCAAGATTTCCAGTTATCATCCTAGATCCTCTAGTCTGGAGTATTATTATATTATCTTGAATCTTTTCCCTAGGATTATTAATATGCTCTGAACACATAATTTAAGGAGGCTGCTACCTGATAGATCTTTAACAAATGATAAATATGGAAATAATGCATAATAGAAATTTATTAGGAAAGGGTTTTGCCATTTGTAGCCCTTTGGTATCTAAATTACTTTACATTTATGAGGATTTCACCATTATTTAAGAAAAATCTTAAAAAAAACCTATGAATTTTGTTGATTTTATAAGCTTTTTTAATCAAAATTTTGTTTTCAAAGTGCAAAATGAAATATATTTTCACTTAAATGGTAAGAATTTAACATACTTACCTCCTCCAAAATAATCAGGCAAAATTGTCTCTGAATTATTAAATAACATTAAAAAATCCATATTAGCAACTATTAACAATTCGGGAAATAGAAATTTTTTTAATATTGAATTGTTTTCACCATTTCAATAAAAAGAAATGCTTTTTTAATGTCGTATGACTTACCAGAAAGGAGCTATAATAGTATTTAAAAAAAATTTCTTATATAATTAATCTACTAGTCCTACTTAATTGTGGTATTAATTTTAAGACAGCATATTAAAATTTTTTATAACTATCGAAGTAATAAGACCCATCTAAAAAAATTTTATCTATGTATGAATTTAATTAATTACCTTAAACCATTTTAGTAATTACGGTAAAAGAAAATTTACACTGTAAAAAAAAGTTTATAAATGTCATTCTTAACTTGAAATTATTCTTGCTCTAATGCAAATTTCAATATTTAAAAATAAATATAAAATTATAAATTAGATTATTTTTATTTATATGATCCATAAAAGATATCTGAAAAGAGAAAATTGGAACTGCAATCTAAAAATGAAATTACAAAAGTTTAGAGTGAATTAAATAAGATAAAATAGAAAATAAATTGACAAAGACATGTTTCATCATTCTAAATAATAATTTTTTAATTTTCATAATTATTTTTACAATCCATACATTTGTACAATGTTTGAAAGGGCCAAAAAAATATCACAATTTCATTTGTACATAACTTATTTTAGTGTCAAACAAGTACCAGCTCACACTATACTGTATCTATTGAGGAACATCAAGTTTTTAACATTAAACAACCATTGTTGTACAGATGCAATTGGATTACAAGAAACAAGCTATGTACAATTTGTTCATCAAATTGTAAAATTGAATGCAGGATGTGAAATACTTTTAAAACATAAAAAATTAGAAAAATTTGTTCAAATAAAAATGATTTTACAAAATATTGAATGCTTTTAAATTAAATGAAACTACCTCTTCAAATTCAGACTTTCAAAATCATAATATAAAATCTCTAAATTTCTTGTACAAATTCAATATATACATTATTTACAAATATCACAAGGTAAACTGCGAAACATTAAAAAAATGATTAAAAAAAATACAGTATTATTCATTAAACTTGTTTTAAATACCTCATAAATAATAAATTAGATAAATAACGATTAAGAGAACCACACATCCACAACACAATTAAATGTCTAGCACTTAAAAAAATGTGGGAGTAAGAAAATAAAAAATTAATTATTATCTAAAGTGGTTACATTTATGGATAGTTAATTACTATTTAACATTATTAGTATAACAATTATATACTATTTAAAAGAGACACATGTCCACAAAAAATTCTGCATTAATCCTAATTAAAGACTTAAACAAAATAATTGAGATTAAATAATTCATTAAATTGCTTTAAATTTAATTTTTAAATTGCATAATTCAAAATGCAATCTAAGAATAAAAAATTGACTTGAGATAATAGCAATCCTACATTTTCTTAAATAGAAAAAAAAAATTTAAAAAAAAAAAAGTAATATCACACAAAAATCTGTTTCACATAAACCTTGCAATTAAAAATTTCTATCACCTTTAAGTAGGTCCTCAAGTGTACAAACACAAGTGAGATCGCAACAAAGGAAAAATAACAATATCTATGAACATCTTCCACAGACGGAGTAGACTAGTTGAGGCAATGGAGATAGGGCATTCACAGGTATTCACAAAAGGTTTCTCTCCATCGAGTCTTATAACAATATGTATATACAGTTCTGTATCATAAATGCAGCTAACAGGACACTGGTCTTTTAGCTATCACCTCAGCAATGATAGTAGGAATTTTATCTGTTTGATTTACCTGAGGAAGAAAAAAAAAAGCAACATAAGTATATTGATTTATCAATAATTATGATTTATAGTTTTATAAATAACATCTACTATTAAAACTGTTATGATTACACGTATATAGTTTTTTTTCTTCATAAATATAGGTGAAATCGTATCAATGACATGGAAATTTAATTTAAAAAAAAACAGAAAATGTCATTAATAATTCCTTCTTTTCATAGCCTTTTCAAAAACAATATTTTCACTGTCTTCAAAAACTTGTAAAACACTTTTAGAATTTGTGTATTCGTAAAATAATTCCTTATATATTTTCTACATGTAGTAGAAAATTTAATAGTCATAAAATTATTTCCCACTCTATAAATAAGATTTAAATATATAAAATTATTTTTGATAATCTTAAGACGCTTGTGTAACAGGCAGAAAAAAATTATTCAAAAACCAATGAGTTCGACAGTTACTATTACTATATAAAAGTACTTATTGCAAAGAGAAAGAAAGAAAAAATAAACTGGCTGATAGTGATGTATATACATTGATTAATTTTCGAAAATATTGTTCTTATTGTAGACATATCAGTTACTGAAATGGAAAATGTATTAATGAAATCTTTTAAGTTCTTTTCAGTCCCAAACATAAAAAAAAAAAAATGTAGGTCTGGGATGCTTCCAATTTCAGGTCAAGAAAAGTTTTTCACTCACTCAAGAAATGAATGACGTACTTAACAGAGAATGACTCATTGCACACCTGGCATGGCAAGTCACACTTTCCCCCTTCAACAAACCCATACAATTGTACCCATTAATAAATAGAAAAGTCACTCCGTTGTTTAAATTTTAAGGTGAAGTTGAGACGTTTATATTTAACTACAGAAAATTCATGTAAGAAATTCAGAAAATTAACATAAATTTTACACCTAAGTAGAGAAAGAAAAAATTCATCAAATACAAAACTACTAACTATTATCTAGAATTTTATTTTAAAAAAATTATATTATTTCATCCTTAAATTAATTTCAATCCTCAAATAGTCAATAAAAAATAAGAACATTTATGAATATTTCTCTTATTTGACGAACTGTTATATATCAATGAAAGCTGTTTTATCCTGACAGTTGGGGCACAGATGGAACATTAATTTGCAGATGTTAATCAGTGACGTTTAGGGAAGGGGAAAAGATATGTTTAAAAGAGACCAACAGTTATCATGCAGATGTGGTCGCATCTGCTTTGGGGATTTGAAGCGAAAGCCCAACGTACATTTTCATAATAAATACAGAGCTCCCTCTCATTTGAAAGGGGGAACCTTTCATTAAATTAAGCCATCTGCGTCATCCGTTACCAGATGGCGCTCCCAACACGGTCTGCTAGCGTTTCGGGATATCGATTTATTTTAGTTTCGAAATTGGAATAACATTTTGAAATCGTTTAACAGCACAATTATTCACATTTAAAATTCAGAAATAGTCGATGAAGCAATATTGTATGAGAATATAGAGTTAATAACAGGAATTTACAACTGCATTATTCAGTAACCCTAGCCTCATGAAACTTATAAACGTCTCGAATGTAATATTATATAATTTTTCAAGATCAAATCAATATTATATAATTTTCAAGAAGTACAGATTGATTAACATTAAATTTATTGCTAACAAAACATTACAGAAAACTTATTCTTGTATTATCTATAACAAAACTTAATGATTTCGAGCTCTAATGGATTACATTTCGAATAGCATTGCAGTATTTAACAAAACAATTTATTAAAGCTTGGTTTAAAAAATATTATAACCTATTCATGTTTATCAAAATGCTTCGTAAATTTTATTACAAATTCGACCTTGTAAAGTATTATTTTGTTACAAAAATAAACGAGATTCTAAGTAAACAAGTACTTCAGTTCAGAAAAATATTGATCGCTAATTTAAAAAAAGAAGCTTTATAAGATATACAGAAAATCAGATTTTGGGTACTACCTAATAATAATAAAAACAGAATTTCGGTACTTACTTCTTGTGCTGCACATGTGTTAATTGCTGGTGAGAGAACTCCAAGGGGTTGTCTGTTAGGACTACTCATTCCCAATACGGCAGCTGCAGGTTTGCTACTGGAAGCAGGATGAGTTTCCAAAGCAATTTGCAAGTCCAAGATGTAATCAATGACATACTGAATTATCTCCAATTTGGACAGTTTCTTATTCCTTGGCACATTGGGCACTAAATTTTTCAGTTTGCTCAGCAAGGTCTGCATTTCCTCCTGTGTCACGTCACGATCGACACGGCCAGCTCTACCCTTCAATATTTCATGTTTCGGCGACATTACGATATCACACGTAGCTTTCATGATGATCGATAGGATTTGGTAATCAATAATCGGAGAAATGAATAATCACTAAGTGTATCAACAATGCACTTGGCGTACGTAAACAGTGTATCCAAATTGGTTCGCAGTAAAATTGAGAATAACAACGTCGGAAAGAGAATATCGCTTCGATCTGACGAAATTTTCAGATTCTGCTACTTATAAACATCATGGATGCAATGGGTGGGGCAACAGCTGTCATTCGCTTAGAGCCAATCGGATCGTCCGAAAAGGATTCTCTGTGCACGGAGAAGAGCCAATGAGGAGAGGTTATCGCAGTTGCAACTGTCAATCAATTCATATAGAATTCTCAGGCGGTTTTCCAGTTTGAACAACAGAATGTTTTCTCTATGCATAACTAAGGCAGCTGGTTTCATTTTTCTGTCAGAAGTGAGGGCTGTTCTTGTCCTCCCGCCATCTATTAAATGATGTTGTAAGTAGATGAGGCACAAATGCGTGGGAAAATATTTTGTTAGTGAGATCTCGCAGGTGCGCTTGACAATTGCGCGCATCTGGTCACGTAAAGATGACGATTTTTTTTTTTAAAATATTAAAATTATAATAAATGATAAGAGAATGTCCCAAAAAATATGAACTAAAGCTACTTCGTGGGAAAAATTTACTTGCCTGCAATTAGATTAGAAAGGCAGATGATAAAATACTTAATTTTATATGGGAAGAAATGCGGGTTTAGTAATTATGTAGTTAAATTAATGATAAAATATAAGTATATACATCAAGCTATTCTCTCTAATTTCCTGGCACACTTGCAAATTCAATTGAATAATGACAAAAAAATGCGCAAAGTGAAAACTCTCTTTAAAAAATGCCCTGTGAATATTAAATGAAAAATTAATAGTTGAGTGGGCCGTATTCATAAGTGTTGTAAATTTATTGGTTAGGGGTCTATTTTGGCACATTTTAAAGCCAATATCTTGTTTTCTTCTCTATTTTCATATTTTCAACACTTTTCATGCTATTTTATTGTATTCTTGAAATGTTTAACTGGAATTTTTGTGAGTAAACAGCAATTTTTATTAATTATATCCTTGCTTTATAAAAAATTATATTTATCTCTAAATTTTCTTACGCAAAACTTGCCAACTAAAGAATCTTTCTGCTGGTTCAAAAAATGCTTAAAAATAGATAAAAAGAAAAAGAAAATAGATAAAAAGAAAATTTCTTAGTAGCAAAATATAATACTTTAATGTTGTCTTTTATAGTTGTTATCGAGGCATAATTATTATTTAGAAAATCACACGATACGTTTTTCTTAATTAAGAAAACTAAGAAGCACAGCATAGAATTAATATAAGTATCTTATACCTTTAAACTAATTTTTATTAGTAGTGTAACACCTAACGATACATTCTTGTAATATTTATTCATTATAATTTCTTAGCAATACTCTCATCGGCTATCATGTCTTTGATTTTGATAATTATTCCAAATTATTGGCTTAAACTATGAACGGTGTTTCTTTGTTATAAAGAAATTCCTTAATATTACGTTATTATTCAAAATTTTACTGTAAACAATTTTAAATCACTATCAATTTATCATTCTACAGTAATTAAACAGTGAATATTTTCTATTTATTTTTCTATTCTATTACTTTACGCACTAGTATTGAATAAATCTTTGTGACAAAAAAAGACATTTAACGAGTTTTTATAATAATAAAAATAAAATAGGAATTTCTGTTATATTTTTTTATAATAAAATTTATGCAAAACTGAGTTCAGTCAACCTATGCAATTAAAATAATGACTATAATATTATAAAACATTATTATGAATTAACTTTTCGTTCTAGTATTCAATAAATCTCTGTGACAAAAAACATTTGACTAGTTTTTATAATAATAAAATGGGGATTTCTGTTCTATTTTTTTATAATAAAATTTATGCAAAACTGAGTTCAGTCAACGTATGCAATGAAAATAATGACTATATTATTATGAAACATTATTATGAATTAACTTTTGTCACTAGTTTTCAATAAATCTCTGTGACAAAAAACATTTGACTAGTTCTTATAATAATAAAAATAAAATAGGAATTTCTGTTCCACTTTTTTATAATAAAATTTGTGCAAAACTGATTTCAGTCAACGTATACAATTAAAATAATGACTGTAATATAATAAAACATTATTATGAATTAGCTTTTCTTTCTAGTATTCAATAAATCTCAGTGACAAAAAACATCTGACGAGTTTTTATAGTAATAAAAATAAAATGTGAATATAAAAAGCAAGTTCCTATACTTGCTAAGGTAGCCGAATAAAATCAATAAGTTATTTAAATGGAAACAAAGCCTGTGATACTGCATTGGGATCTTTCATTTGAATAAGTTTTAATTTTGATGTAATAATCTGATTATAATCGAGATACAAAGAAAGAAGAAGAAAAAGACTGCGCTGTAATCGTGAGGGTTGATAAACGAAAAAAGTACAGGACACAACAGCATAAAAAACTAAAAATGAGAGAGAAAAAAATTAACAAAATTTAAACTCACTAAATTTCGTTCTTTCTAATAATAAGTTTTTCACTTTTCTATCGAAAAATCACGCGTCTAAAAAGTCATGCGTCTGGTCTTCGTCTAAAAATCATGCTTTTTTTAAAAACCTAAAAGACTCCTTTGTCTCGGTATATACATTTAGAAATTTTACTGATTTTATTTCACTGATTTCTTACATGCAGTTATAAAGCTACTCATAATTTAAAATTTCATAATTTTTTTTAAAAAAAACATTTCCTGTCTTAATATTTTGAAATGAAATTAAACTCCAGCCAATTCTTGGAAAAGTTTTCGATGGGAAAGTTCCCCATTATACGATTTGTTAATTTTCGCACCGTTTACTCAATTTGCCAAAAGACACATCTAAGAATTTTTTTTTTTTAAATTTTCAAATGAAACCGATCTTTATTTTTCGATAACTATTCAAACGATTTCGTTAGAAACTTGATTTTTTTGAAGAAAAAAAAAATCACATAGTTTATTAAGATGTGAAGATTTTTTTTGCATTACAATGCAAAAATTTTTTGATTATTAATAAGTGGCAGTTCAAGTATTACGTAAGCACCTAACAGGGATGAGGTGGTTCACGATTTGCTTATTTTTACTGACAGGAGGGGAGGAGAGGTATAAGCAATGCTTACGTACGGGCATTAAAATCCCCATATTTTCCTAAAAAGCAAAGTAAAAAACGTAACAAAAAATTACTCGTAAAAAAATTTAAAATCAACAAAAAAAAAGGAAAAAGTTTCGAAGAAGAATTTTAGAGTTCAAGAGTTTTGAACGCTTTTTCCTGAAGAACATTCGACTCAAAATTTTATCGAAGAAATTCAAAAGTAAACTTAGCTTAATGCAAAAAAAACATTTATTTACTTAACTACAATAAAATTCTAAGTTGAAGCAAAAACAAAGAGAGGGGTGTTGCAACTTTCTAACGCAAACATGGGAGGGGTTAATGATTTGCTTATTTTTGCAGACTGGGAAAGGGGGGGGGGAGCCAAAATTGCCAAAAATATGTTTACGTTATATTCGAACGTCCGTTAAATTGAATATTTAAAAACTAATTGAATATTCTAAAAAAATTTATTTTGTAAAGAATTATGTTTGGATAAGCGATTTTTAAATTCACTTTAATAGTTTCAGAAAACTGGATGAAATATGCCAAAAAGTACAATCAGTACTAAAGTACTTTTCGTCCGCTTTCTGGACCAAACTAGGGTGACCATTTTTCCTAGATTGTGGCTACCCTTTATGTTTTCGTTAGAAATTAATTTATTTTAAAAGCGATCTTATTTAGAATTTATTAAGGAAAAAAAGATATTTATTCAGGTAGACAATGATTTAGGTTTTATATCGTAACTTAAATATCAGCTGTATAAATTTATTGTCGGTTATTATATTTAAGATCGAACCTTTAATCGATTCAGATTAATAGCTGAGTGAAAATCTGATGATCTTGATCAAAAGTAATTAAGAAATTGCGTGGATATTTTTTATGCTCTGTTTATTAAAATACGTTGTAAAAGGATTAATTACGGTATAAAGGTTATCATATCAATCATAGGTTTTAAAAGGATTAAGTATTTTTCTTTTCCAGAGTTGTAATCCAGGAAATATTGTGCTCAATTAATATCATGTTATAAAGTGAAAAATATGCAGAAACTAAAAAATTATAAAAGCGCATTTTTATAGTTTTGAGTAAGATTTTTCTTCTTAGTAAATAGTTTCATCTTCCATTGCATTGAGACAACAGTTATGAACGTGGCGACAATAAGACTCCGTCATTCATTCTCTAAAATGGAACTTCCGCATTTTGAAAATGCTGATAACTGAATCGTTAACAGAATGTAGTAGATAAATTAATTTACAACAGAAATTTTACTTTTAATGTTCTTGAAACAATCAATTTTCTTCCATTTTTCTATGCGACGAAATCCTTTTGCCAAAACAGTGATTTAAAATTTTAAAATAGAAATGTTTTAACTATCAATTCCTATTTTTTTTTTAAATCTAATAGAATGAACATTAAAAATATGTAAATATTTATATCTATGTAGAAAATAGTGCCAATGAAAAAATATTTCTTATTGAAACAAAATAGTTATTCGAAGGGCGAAGACGTTGGTTATGATCCATACTCGCAAACTTCCGCACAATTTTATTACTACTTTAATTTATTACTTTTAACTCCGAACAATTTGTAAAATAATAATGTAAAATTTGTTACGAGCTTTAGAACATTCTTTAAAAATAGATCTTTCAATGAGGGTTCGGCTTTCTAAAGTGATATGTTTACTTTGCATAACCCTTTGACGCAGATGGGACACTGGTGTCCCTTTTAAATAAAAAGTTTTTAGGGCTCTAATTAGAAGAAATTTTTTTTTCCTTTTTTAACTATAAAAACCAGTATAATAGTTATTTGAAAAAAATCTGTTAGGTTATCGGCATTATATTTGTACTAAAATGTAAAATCCAAAAAAAAGTAGTTAGGAAAAAAAATTTGTTTTCATTCCTATTCAAAAATTTATCTATAATTGATTTTATAAATTAAAAAATTTCAATGATAAATGTTTTTTCGATCTAAATAAACAAAACTAAAAATTAGTATAAATTTGAAAAACTGTTATTTGGAAGTGAGC